GCAGACACAGACGCAGCCACAGGGATGGGGGCCGCCAGGGCGTGCGCGGGGCGGGGCGGGGCGGGCGGAAGACAGCCTTGGCTAGAAGGCGTGTGTGCTCACCAGAGCGACGGCAGCCATCCAAGGGCACGGCCAGGTCGTGGCCCGGTCCCCCCGCTTCTCCGTCCGTTGGAACCTGAGGCGTGCACACACAAGCCCAGAGTTTCTCAAGGCTCGACCTGCCATCGGCCGCCTGGGGTCTGACTCCCTGAGCCACCGGGCTACAGGACTGACCCCCACACACTTCTAACTGGGGACGTTTTCACAAAACTTGAAGCGTTCGGGCAAATGTCCATTAAGAGGCACTAGGCCCCCACAGGCAACCGCTGCCCAAGGTCACTTCTGACACAGGGACGCTCGCAGGCCAGCGCCGGAAGGTGAGCCTCGGCCCTGACCCGCAGCGCCCTCCGGGCCCCAGCCCTGCAGGCTTCTGTGCCCCTATGTCTCGTCAGCACTTTCCGAATTCAGACTTAGCTCTGGTCTAGACATGGCCCACCCCGAGCAGACCGAGGCGTGTCCTCACAGCCACCTGAGCAGGCCACTGTCACTCCTGGCACGGCCAGGTCCCGGCCACGCCCTGCAATGCTCGTCGATTAGGAACCACGGACTCGGGCCTGTCCTCGGCTCTGTGCTGCGTCGGACCAGCCCCCGGGGCGGCGGCCCTTCCCTCACTCAGCCGAGAGCCCAGACAGAGCCCACCGCCGGCTCCGTGCAGCCACGGCAGGGCTCCCTCTCCTTGCCTGGGTCCCACCACTCCCAGCGCCTCCCTGCCCCGAGCCACACGTATGACCCTGTTCCCACCTGCTTCCCCAAAGGCCTCGAGTAGGCGGCTCCCAACCGCAGAGCTGCAGGCCCCTTCTAGGTGCCCAGGGCCTACCCAAGCTGTCCTCGCCGCGTCCCCACACCTGAGGGCACAGCACGCCACCCCCAGCGCCCTGCGACCTTTGAACCAGTTGTCCTCCATACGTCCCCACACCTGGGGGCACAGCACACCCACCCCCCAGCGCTCTGTGACCTTTGAACCAGCGGAACGTGTGGACCTTCCCTCCCCGGGCCCACCCCTGCTGTCTTCCAGGTGCCTCCGTCTTCCCAAACCACCTCCGGCTCAGGAGGCAGCGCGTCTACAATGGAGTCCTAACGACACCTTGACTGCTTAACAGGGAATTTTCTACCACAAGTAGAGGAAATAAGATAAAGTTTAGCACTTCAAAGACAAGTGCTGGCCCGCCACGAGGGCACAGTGGTCACATGGTGCCCCGCAAGGACAAGCCCTGGAAGGGCCCGGGTTCGCAGCCGCGGTCTCCTGTGCAGACAGGCCTGTGTGCCCGTGACCGGACGCCCGAGGTGGGGCTGCAGGGAGGTGTGAGGGCCCGCCGAGGGCTGCCTCTGACCACAGAGGGAACGAGCTAGCAGTAACTATGGCTCCTTCCCTGCTTTTTACAGAGCCCAGCGGGGTGTGAGCCGGAGGGTCCAGGCCAGCCCGCTGACGGCAGCAGCGAGCACATGCAGTGGGCACCACTTCCCACTGGCCGGCAGCTGCTCGTGCTGTTTCTGGTGACCTTTTCAATTTGCAGCTGCTGTGGATCCGGGTTACACAGCAGAACCCACCAGGCCCGCCCTGGAGCCGGCCCCTCAAGGCTGACGGTAGGTCGGGTCCAGCCCTGGGGCTCACAGAACACAGCGGGCACGTGTGTTTCTGGGCACGCCCCAGATCCCGACAGGGTGGAGAAATGGAGAAGGGACCTGGTTTGACAGTGCTCGACTGAGGGGTGCTTTCTCCCTCACCCCTGGCTACTGCACAAGCCCTCTGGCAATTAAACCCAAAACAAAAGGTGGACCAGGAGATGGCGTAATACTTATGTAGCTAGACTCACATACCCACACAACCAACCACGGTTCAAGTCCCAGGCTCAGCGGCTTGAAACCCAATCTAGGCGTGTACCAATGTGTGCCCCAAGTCCCGAGAGGAGAATGGAGGAGAAGGGACTGCAGAGTGCCATCCCCCCGAGGTGGGGTGGATTTCTCACTTTCTGTCTTTCCAGTAAGTGTGTGCACCCTATAGAAAAAAAAAAAAAAGGAAAGAAGAACAAAGACAGCCCATCAAACAGACCCGCCGAACGAGCAAGCCTGTGTGTGGGCGGTCTGCCATCTGCAGACGAGCTGTCCCGTGGACAGGAGACCCGCAGAGCGGGGGGTGCGGGGTCCGAGAGCTCTAATTCTGTGCCCGCCGAGGGAGGGGCCGAGGTGTCGAGCGCAGGACCGGGCGGCACCAGGCCGAGCTCTGTCTGCACCTGTCACCCCACATGTCCCACACACGTGCCAATTCACAGGTTACTGCTTCTCCCAGAAACCAAGGCCCCAGGACGGCGCGTGAGTCGGGACACGAACGGGAGCCCTCACGACACTCGGGCTAGTCAGAATGGCTGTGCACGAGTGCCCTCAGACGTGTGACCCAGCTTCCACGGCGACTGGCTCCACGTGCGCCAGGAGGGGAACCCCAGGACGGCACTGGGGACCCCCGCGGCCCGCTCACCTTCCTGTAGTACTCCAGGAAGCTGACTTCCGAGCCGTCGGCCTTCTTGAAGGTGCTCTGGGGGCTCTGGTCCCAGTCGATGTCGTCCACGCGGTAGGTTTTATTGTTGTACCTGCGAACGAGTGAGGTGGCGGTGGCTAGCGGGAACACGCGCCTGAGGGCGGGCAGACGGCGGGACTCAGCGCCTGGCAGGGAATGGAGAGATGGGTGGGGTCCTGGGCGTGTCCTCTCCAGGTGAGGCCTGTCCCTCGGGAGAGGGGACACGTGCTCCTCCCGGTCACGTGCCGTCCCACGCTCAACGTTAAACCTCGTTTTCTTCTAACCTCAGACAGCGTAGAAGCCACGAGCCCTCATCTCCCGGGTCACCCGGCAGCTGCGCGGCGCCCTTACTTGGTGAGGACGATCAGGCCGACCAGCTCTTTGGACACCTGCTCCTGGAACCGGTGCTCCTCCGTGTGCTGGTACAGGTGCAGCATGAAGTCCAGCACGGTCTCGCTGCGCAGCACCTTGTGGCTGACGTCGGTGCACAGCATGATGCTGCTCTCGTACTGCAGGATGGACGTGGTGAAGCCCGGCCAGATCACCAGCCTGCGGACACACCGCGCAGGGCGCCTGCCGCGGCCCGCCGGCGCTCCGCCCCCAGC